CCTGAAATAGGGCCAGGCTTATGAGAAGGCACAATGCAGGAACTAATGTGAAAATTTGCTTACATCTCAAAATATCACTGTGATTTTTCTTACTGATAAGTGTGTAATTCCCTACTATTAGTTTATTGAGTAGAGCCAAGGCATTGCAAATAAGAGTTCACAGGAAATTCTTTTTAGAGAAAGTAGATTTACTATAAGGTTTCAAAGCTAAGAAGAATAGTCTTGTTTAATGAGAAATAGGGTACCATATAAAGTTTTTGAAAGGCAGAATAATTTCATGAAAAGGGAAGTCTAAGATATGTTAGATAGGCAGTGTCATCCAGGATGTTCTGCAGTCAAGTAGAGGGCAGCGGGGGTAGTGCCAAAGAAGCATGGTGAAATTATAAAGACCTTGAATGTGAGTTATGAAATCTGACTTCTACTCCTAGTGAATCTAATTTTTATTGACTTTGAGACCCTGGGCCGTTATTTGCTTTGGAGTTCAGATTTCTTAATGGCCAAATTAAAAATAATGGGGAAGTGGAGGTTGGACTAAATAATCCCTTCTATAAAATAATAAAAGCAAAATCAGATGGAAGGTTATTGCAATAATATGATAATGCTGTGAAGACTAGGTGCATAATGGTGGCAGTGGAAGTGCAGAAGGAATAGGCTAGAAAGAAAAGCATCTTTTAGGAATTATTGTTAGGATTCAATGCATAACTCTGTATGGAAGGAAGATGGATGAGAGGAGGGAGTCAGAGCTATCTTAAAAGTGTCAATTCTGACTAGCTAATTGACAATAATAGAGATGGGAGCATAGAGAGAATACTATGTAAGTGAAGAGGATGAGATGTCAGTGAAGTGGGAGGACAGTCAAGATGATACAAACTCTGTTGGGACATGAAAATTCTTAGAAGACAGTAGACAACCGTGCCAAGTTTATTGCACACTGAGAAGAGCTTAGAAGAAAAGATTTGGTACTGAGAAGGTTAGGTCATCTACTAAGAGAAGATGGGTGGTATCAAGGATATGCAAACACCTGTACACATACATGTACCAGGTACTTCCTTCTTTATAATATCCAATATTATCTCTGAACAAATGGAGGACACAAAGCATCATGATCCATGTAGGAGGTTTTTGGTATACCTATTCATTGTGCACATATACTGACTGGGAAGTAGTGATACCTTGAAGGTCAGAGTCTTTGAGGCAAAGAACAAATAGAAGGACCTCCTGTGACCCCTCATCTTCACCCTCCATCTTATGATTTGAATACTTTTCAGTTCAAAATACTCTCTCATAGTCAATGAGAAACTCTGCTTTCTACTTCTCTTGATTTTTCTGTAAATGCAGAAATCCAAAAGCTGCTCGGTAATTATCTGCCTTTTGTTTTTTTCTTTACCCCTGTCATGTTTAATTTCACAACCATTTTCCTGTAAATGAGGTTGGATAGAGCTGATATGTGTTGTGCCTCATCTGTCGCAACATATTGAAAGGAACTCACAATGTGTACAGATTGTATAACACCTTTAGATGAATCTTATTTCCTTCCCTTAGATGGTGCTAATAGAGTATGAAAGGAAAACATGATTACATACGATGATTATTATGGTATTGTATAAAGGCCAGGAGTCACCCGAAAGCTTTGGAATTAAAAATAAATGTCTTCTCTGAGAAGTCCATATTATTATCACAGAGATGACAACCTATTTCTTTTATCAGCTGGGGTCCCAAGACCTTTACCCTTTTTCATCATCATCTTCTTTATCCTAGAGACTTTTCAAAATCTCTCTAAAACAATTGTAGTGCAAGCGAATAAAGAGAAATCTTATTTAATGCAAGTATTAGAAAAGGTTTATTTTTTCTCAGATAACAATAGTCTTATTATCTATTTGTACTGTGGCTTGAGTATCAGTAACACTTGTGAAAGAAGTAGCATAACCAGTCTTGGAAAACCATTTTTAAGGCCTCTTTGTGTCAGGGATATTGTGTAACTAGTTTGCTACTCTGGACACTAGAATCCTGACTACAATTACCCAGTGGGGTTGACCTGCCCTAAATAATTCTCAGTAAAAATGCCACAGAGCCTCTTTAACACCTAAATTCATGGAGACAACAAAAATGTTGGCTGAATTACTAAATAAACACCATGGAATGACAGTTTACTAAATGGTTGAGCATATTTTCATGCAACATACTGTAAATTATAAGATGTAATGCTCTGATATTAATATCTAATTTTCCTGTACAAAGGATTTTTTTAAAGGCTTTAACCACTTGAGGGAAAGGACATTTCTATGGTCTTATCTAGTCCACATTTCCATAATTTGGGAGTTGTCCAGATTCTTCTGATCCCTATTAGAGTATCTCCAGTTGTTCTTGCCCTGTGTTGCTCTGCCCTGGAAGTATTCTACAGAAGGGCCCTTTATTTCAGCCTCTGATTAAACGCCTGCTCAAAAATCATTTTCAGTTTGGAATATTTATTAGTTTTATTCCTAAAGAACCCTGGAATCTCTCTGAAATGCCTGTTGCATGTTACTTATTGTATTAGGGATTATTTCTTCCATGTTTCTTTGTCTCTTTAGCTTTCTATTTCTCTGTTGTGAGTGTTCTATGTTTTCTGGGCAGCTGGCTCTGTCCACAGTGTGAAGATGTTTAAATTCTACATATCCTGGTGGAGAAACTAACTTCCAGATAGGATGTAAGTAGTAATGGCTGAAGCTTAGATGCCATGACATTTCCTATTTAACACTATTAAACTTTCCCCCCTGGCTACAGTAGTTTGGGATTTTATTGTTTTTTACCTGCTGTGATCTGGACTAAGCTTGATCTCACTGACACATAAAACGAGACATGAACTTTACTTTCCTGAACCATAACTCTAGATTGACAGGTAGACTTAGAGCTGGAGGAAAGGACAAGATTCTATGAGATACAAGAAGTTTTCTACTTTGATAAGTTTTTTATCTTATCTAAGTAGATAAGATAAAAATATAAATGTGATTGCATCTCTAATCAGGACTGCAGTTAATGTATTTTCAAAGATTTTTTTAGTGGTTTAGTGGTCACACTAGTTATTGCTTGGGCAAAGGATCAGGACCAGATTAGAGAATGTCTCTGTCACTAGAAGATATTTGCAATGAAACATCACCTTTAAACTTCAAACAATGAGAGTCTACTAATTATGCTCCTCAATTAATTGGGATATTTAAGTGATACTTCAGTGTGAGGAGAAAAGTATAGCTAAAAACAATCCCACATCAACAATCTATTAAATGGCTTATTTATTCATTCATTTATTTAGCACTAGGCTCTTGGGTATAGTGACAAAGGGCATAGTCGTTGCATTTCAATAGAAACAGACAAATGGACAAATGAATGATTGCAGTGAAATGTAAGTGTGAACATAAACACAGGATGCTATGGAATGCATAGGATAGACAACTATGGGGATATCAAAGAAGGGTTCCTAAGGAGGTTACATGTGAAGTTAACTTCAAAAGATAAAGAGAAATATGCCAATTGAAGTGGTAGAAAAAGGGCAAAGGTCATTCCAAGAAAATGAAGAATCATGAGTGAAGAAGATATGTAGTAATAACTGTAAGTAGTTTAGTATGGCTGCAGCACACAGTATGTCATAGAATATGGTAGAAAACCTGGACTGGTAGGCAAGAGCCAGATCATTAGGGAACTTATACATCAGGTTAAAGCATTTAGACAAGGTATCCTCAAACTACGGCCTATGGGCCACATGCGGGTGTTTTTGCCCATTTGTTGTTTTACTTCAAAATAAGATTTGTGCAGTGTGCATAGGAATTTGTTCATAGTTTTTTTTAAACTATAGTCCGGCCCTCCAACGGTCTGAGGGACAGTGAACTGGCCCCCTGTTTAAAAAGTTTGAAGACCCCTGATTTAGACTGTTCCTTGAAGGCAATGGAGAGTCATTAAAGAGATTTCATATGCAAAGCATCATGGCTGTGTTTGCAGTTTAGCGAGAGACCTCTGATGTAGTGTGGAAGCTAGACTGGAGACAGGAGACAAGAAGAACAATTAGTATGCTAATTACTAATAGGTTGTATTAGACCAGGTGAGCAATGAGAAGGTGGTAGTGGGAATGGAAGGGAGGAGGCAGATATTAAAATAGTGATAAAGATTTATGAGGTTAAGTGGCCAAGGCACAGTGAATTTCTAGAGTGGGGAGTTGAGGGAGAGGGAGGTATCTAGGATGACTCACAAACAGAGATGTAGAAAATAAGAGACCTAGCCAGACAGAGCATGGGTAAGATGATAAATTAACTTTTGTACATGATGAAAATACTCACAGGTTAAAATCACCTTTCCTATGGGCTTGGACTTTGGCCAGTGACATTCAGAATGATGATTGTAAGGTATTGCACCAGTCTCGCTGGGTAAAGAGAGATTCAAGCATGTTTACTAGACCAGATTGATTTTTAAAAGTCCCAGATTAAGATTCAGCTATACAGCCATTTAATTAGCCTGAACCCACCATTCCTTGAGTGTCTCTCTTATTGAAGTTTTATTGTACTTCTGAGAAGATAATCTATCTTGGAGTCAGATATTCTATGATATTACTATTTCTTTGGCCCTTGCATTATTTTTTAAGTGCATCACATTTCCCTAATCATTGCCAAGGAGACAGGGAGCAATCCTCCACTTTACAATTGATCAAATTCTCTTTAGTTTGATTTTCACATTCTGTTACCCCTTGAGTGGATTTATTTTTTCCTTGACCCTTCACTCATATTCATTATTGATTTTTCCTGAAGGATGCCAGAGCAATTATTGCCTACCATTTACCTCATTCTCCAAGAAAAGATCTCTCCAAGAAAAGATGTCTTCTTAGGGCTCTACAAAATCAAACACTGTTTACCCCAATCACACAATTCAACACTTTTTCTCAGCTTCTCAAGATAACAGTTTAATATGTTGCCCGATTAAAGTGTTTCTGTGATTGTCTGTGCATCAACTTTTATACTTCCCTTTTCTTTCCTTAGAGTTTCCTTTCATAATCCAGAAAGCAACTTGATGGGGCACAGCTTGGGGAAAAAATCCTGGGGATGGAAGAAGTTCATATTGGTGAGATTTTCTAGTTATCTTTCTAGAAACTTGTGGAAACTTATTTGTTTCTCTTCTTTTTACTCACATTTTTTTTAGGTTATCTGAATCTACATTATTGTCACAGTATATCTGCACCAGTGAATCAAATCGAATTCATCTTTGGTATTTCATTTGATGAAAACTTTGGTGCCATTATTCTGAGCTTTATTGATCATTGTCAGTTAAATATCAAAGAGTGTGTCAGCAGGGTCAGACAAAAGTAGGTTTGACCCTTGATTCCATCACTTACTAGCTGTGTGACCTTAGCTAAGTCTCTTAATCTTTTGGAGCCCCTTGTTTCCTCATCTATAAAACGATACAATCATGCACTCTGCTTTTCTCTTAAGCTTGATATAGTTTTATTTATTTATTTATTTTTAAATTTCAGAATATTATGGGGGGGATGCAAACATTTAGGTTATATATATTGCCTTTGCACTGCCTGAGTCATAGCTTCAAGCATGTTCATCCCCCAGACAATCACACCACACTCATTATGTGTGTATATACCAATCCCCTCCTTCCCCCTCCCTGCTGCCTGACACCCGATGAATGTTACTACTATATGTGCACTTAAATGTTGATCAGTTAATATCAATTTGATGGTGAGTACATGTGGTGCTTGTTTTTCCATTCTTGGGATACTTCACTTAATAGAATGGGCTCCAGCTCTATCCAGGATAATACAAGAGGTACTAGATCACCATGGCTTTTTGTGGCTGAGTAGTACTCTATGGTATACATATACCACATGTTATTAATCCACTCATGTATTGATGGGCACTTGGGTTGTTTCCATATCTTTGCAATTGTGAATTATGCTGCTATAAACATTTGAGTGCAGATGTCTTTTTTATATAATGTCTTTTGTCCTTTGGGTAAATACCAGTAGTAGGATTGCTGGATGAAATGGTACTTTTAGTTCTTTGAGGTTCTTTGAGGTATCTTTGAGGTAGATACTTTGAGGTATCTACATTCCATTGAGTTTGTACGAATCAAGAGCAAAAGAACTATACAGAAGATTAATGAAAAAAAATGTGTTCTTTGAAAAGATAAACAAAATTGACAGGTCTCTTGCTAGATTGACCAGAAATAGAAAGGAAAGGACTTTAATAAGCTTAATTGGAAATGAAAAAGGAGAAGTCACAACTGATATCAGAGAAATACACAATATCATCTTTGAATACTATAAAAACCTCTATGCCCAGAAACTTGAAAATGTGGAGGAAATGGGCAAATTCTTAGAAACACACAATGTCTTTGTACACAATCAGGAAGAAATAGAATTCCTGAGCGGACCAATATCAAGCTCCAAAATTGAAGCAGCAATAAAAAATCTTCCAATATAAAAAGTCCTGGACCAGACAGATTCACACCCGAATTTTACCAAACCTACAAAGAACAGGTACCTATGCTGCAGAAATTATTCTACAATATTAAGAAGAATAAAATCCTCCCCAACTCATTCTATGAAGCCAGTATCACCTTGATAACAAAGCTGGGAAAGGACACAATACCAACGAAAAAGAGAACTACAGACCAATATCTCTTATGAATATAGATGCAAAAATTTTCAATAAAATCTTAGCAAACTGAATTCAACTGCACATCAAAAAACTAATTCATCATAACCAGGTGGGATTTATCCCATAGATTGCAAGGATGATTCAACATACACAAATCTAGAAGTGTAATTCACCACATAAATAAAAGCAAGAACAAAGACGATTTGATGTAGTTTTTAAATCAGTAAAGTATTTTATCAATTTCCAAACACTATACACATATTTTTGGTAATTTGGGAACATATTTAGAATGTAATTGAAGAAAAAAGTAAAATATTTTGCTGCCATTTTCTGAAAGATATAATGAATAATAATATATGGTGACCTGACAGAGTTTAAGGATTAAACCAAAGATATTTATAGAAATCTAGTTTTTATTAAAAAAAAAAACAGGAAAGATAGCATTAATTGGGTGCTTACTATATGCCAAACATTGTTCTATATGCTTTAGATTAATTATTTTGTCTGATGGTCACAACATTTAGTTAGGTCTTATTAGTTGAGTTTTACAGGTGAGGAGACTTGCTCCAGATCACCCAGATAGTAAGTGGAAGAGATATAAGATTTAAATTTGGCCTTAATGGAATCTTAATTATTTTACCTACAGTGTTCTTGAGCCTCATAATCTTTATCTAAACTTGTTTTATTTTGATTTGTCAGTTTATCCTGCAACTATATTATAGCAGAACAATCTCAATTAATTGGGGTGCCAGTTTTTACTGTATGCAGGGATAAAAAGGTCTAGTGGGAGTGATGTTCCTATATCTTAGAAATTACCTTGTTCCCTGATTTCTATGTCAACTATAGGAGAAATTTAACATTCAGAGAGAAAACTCTTCAAACAACTTTCGCTCACTTGAATTTAAAATCCTGGAAGGCAGGGAACATACGCCTGACAGAACCTGACACATAGTTGATATCCAGTTAGTGTTTGTTGCATTGGACTGAGTTATTTTCTCTTATTTCTCAGCAGAGTTTTTATCTACTCTGAACCCCTGTTGACTGTGCCTAGCAGTATAATTAAGCAGCTCTGCAGAAACCAGCATAAAAAGAGATTCAAGCATAGTGTTTGTATCTACCCAGCAATTCTTAAAAGTTTCTGTACACAAGACGAATTATATTTAATCAATTGTGAAACATGACCAAGATATATAATTTACTTTGAAAAAAAATATGTGGTTGATAGATGTTTAGGAAATATGTGATGGATCACACAGAAACTAAATTTAGATTAAATAATATTAGATGAAGTGATTTAGATTAAGACAATTGGAAGGAATCTTGAGAGTTCAAGTAGACTGCCCTCAACCTGCCCTGAATAGTCAGTCTGTGCCTGAACTTAAAAAAAAAAAAAACAATCTCTGAGGAATTAGATGATGGTTAAATTAGTTGGAAAGGGATTATACCAGTTTTCTTATTAAAATATTTCCATGCATACCTACCTTTACTATTAAAGTAATAATTTTCAAATGCATTCAAGAATCAGAATAGCTGAGAAAGAAGTTCTCAACCTTTTTGGATTCAGGATCCCTTTGTGCTCTTAAACATTACAAGGAACCCCCCCAAAGTTTTTTTGTGTGTGTTATAGCTATTGATATTACTATATTATAAATTGAAATATGAAATTAAAAGTGTTTATTAATTATTTAAAAATAATAACAAAGCTATTACATCATTACCTAAGTAGCATAGTTTTAAGTTTTAAGGAAACTAATCTTATTTTCTGAAAAAAAAGTTTAGTGAAAGGGTGGTGGTGTTTTATGTTTTTGCCATTCTCTTCAATAGCTGGCATAATAGAAGGCAACTATATTATCATATCATTTTTTCTGCATTCAATCTGTTGCAATATGTTATTTTATTTGAAATACAGGATACAAATCCAGTCTCATATATATAGTTGGAAAGGGAAGAAATATTTTAGTAGCCCTTTCAGATGACTGTGGACATTCTTCTTTGATATTATAGAAAAATTCAACAAGTAGCAGTTTTTTAAAGGTTAGTTATAATATTGCATTGGAAAGGAAACCATATTTATGAACTTTTCATACATTGTTTCAGTAATATCTATTGGTGTATCCTGCACTCTGAATGGATTTTTTACTCATGCATGATTTTATAACATTGGTTATTTGGAAAATTTTAATTTTCCATGTAGTTACGTAGATCTTCTAAATTTTGACATGTTTTAATACAATATAAAAATCACATTCATTAATATCACTACTGATCTTATCACATAAATGTTTAAGGATAAGAAACTGTCAAGTTTATAATCATAGATACAAGTTCTCCAAAATTGTAACTGTCACTTGAAAGCTTGAATTTTATCATTGGCAACAAATACTGTCAGCAATTTTCTTTGAAGTGACAGGCTCACTTCATTAATTTCTCAAGGATATGTTAAGAAATATCCAAGTCTGAATAATCATGGTTTCTTAGTTGTTCTTTCAAGTAAAAAACTAGTGTGCCATGAGAAAAACAGCTTGTTCAGCTTTCAACTCAAACAGTAACACAATAACACAAGTGCTTCTGTTTTTTGAGACAACCATCATACATTGAAATGTGTCAGAAATATTTTATATTGATTTTGCATTTTGCCGCACAGAATATTATAAAGATATATACTCACAGGTCAAGACTTAATAAAAATAAAATTAGCTTCACCAAGGACATTTTAAAATTAAATTGGCTTTTTTGTTATGCATTTACTACAAATACATGGCAGTGAAGAATACAGTGACTACTATATATGGTGCCCCTGCCTCCATTTGCACTAAGGCACTGACAGTTTTACCCTTCATTGCTTTGTACTGTCAGAGAATCAGCATAGTGAACAACACAAATAGAAATTATTATTGTAAAAATGGTCTTCAATTCACAGAGGCCTCTGAACCAGTGAACCCCAGGGATCTGCAGACCATAATTTGAGAATTTCTGACCCAGAGGATGTCTTAAAAGTAGCAATTTTTGGTGGTGGGGGAAGACTTCCAGAAATTCCAATTCAAGAGTTTGAGAAAGGGATCTAGTAATGTACATTTATAACTAGCTCCCCAGGGAATTTTGAGAAAGGTGGCCTGCGGAACACACTTTGAAAAATACAGCACAATAGAAGATATGCTTTTATTTTGGCTATGGTTATGTGAAGCTCAGATATATACTTGCCTAAAACAACTATTTAATTTTAACAAAATTAACAACTCTTGTTGCTTCATTGATTTGTTTATTCTATCTAAAGGTTGAATTGGTGGCTCTTTCTTTGTGTACAATCATTTTCCATCTCCTATACCCCTTCCTTAATTATCTTGTGTTTTCTCTATTGTGAACCTGTTTAGACTGTGTCTCTCTCTTTGCTGGGTTGTGAAAATCAAAATTGAACAGATATTCCATTCTCTAAGGCTCTGACCATGCTAAGAAGTCCCTACTGTGTTTTTACATCGTAAAATAATCAGGCTGCTCATCCCCTAAACTCTCCTTTCTCACTGTTAGCTTTCTAGCCCTATATCTGCTTCTGGAATTCAGATCATGGCCGCTGTGCCCAGGGAAAGCCAGAGAATATAAATGAGTCTTGTTCAGGACTTTTGTAGTTGAACACGCCGGGTTCCTTTCCTTAGGGATGATACACTAGGGTATGTCTGACAAAGAGGAAAAGAGTAAGCGTGAGTGGGTGAGAAAGCCTGAGAGTGAGTACGAGCATTCCTTATGTAATTGGCCTACTTCTTTTTCCTTTTCTAACAATGAAAGCTTAAAAACTAGAACTCAGGCACTCCTTTGATCTACTTTCATCTTTCTCTTTTCAGATATCCTATAGTTGGCTGCCTGGTTTCAGAGCCCTTTTTGAACTTGGAAGACTTCAAGCCCCAACTGAGGAATCCTTGATGTTCTGTTGTCTTGCCTTGCTAAAATGTACAAGAAATTTGCAGAGCTCAACCCTTCAGGCTTAAAATCTTCCCAGGTGAAAACAAATTGCCTTGGTCTTATTTGCATTTCTTCTTGACCTGATCATCTTATACTTTAGGCCATTTTCTTCAATTTGGAGGACTCAATGTTTATCACCCTAAAATACAATTATGGATCACTAATGGTTTCCCAGATAGCTGGTAGTTCTAAGCAAAATTTGCCACCCTAAATGCTCATATGAGTGGTATGATACATCAGTGGAATAGACTTTGAACTACAAGGTTGCTTTGGTTTAATTCTTGCCTCAGGATAATAATGTATGTGATGGTAGTGTTGGCATAATTTAACTGAAAAGACTGAGTGATAAAAATTAGTTGAATAATTTGAAGGGATATAATTTTAATCTTCAAAAAATTTTAAGTAGTGAGTATGGAACCCCGAGACATTTAGCACTTAGGTTTTCAAATCTGACTTACAAATGTGAATATCTCTGCCACATTCACTCACCCAAGTTCATGCATAGATATGCATATGTGTACACAGCTGTTTAAACTTTAAAGATCCAGCACTGGTGCATGCAAAAAATCCACAGCAAATACTCCTGATTATACTTCTATTCGTAAAACTAATTATAGATTTGTGCAACTAATACCTTCTGAGTTTATCAGGTGTAAGCAAATACATATATTTGTTGAGCGTGACCCCTTTGATAAAATATTCAAATCTATTTGTGGCAGAGCAAGCACAATTTTACAATAATTACTCTAATCAAGTCAGGATCTTTCTTACTTATACCACCAGCAAAAATAATGAAAACAGCTTTGGGAAGAGAAGCATAAACTAAGGCATAATTCATGAATTCGCAATTTTTTCTTCCCTGTAAGAGACATTAAACTAAATTGTATTTTTGTCCAGACATCTACTGACTTAGATGTGACAGAATAATTCATTGTGATATTACTTTCTATATTATTCTCTCTGGAGTGGACATTTTTTTTGTTTCCCATCTGGAAAAAGTAGCTAGAACTTTTTGTTGCTCTGTCATGACAGAGGTGGGAGTGGGAGACTATTAAACTTATATTTTACGTTTTATAAATTTCAGCATATTATGGGGGTACAGATTTTAAGATTTTAATAAATGTCCTTTCCCTTCTCCCCCCACAAGTCTGAATTTCCAGCATGACCATCCCCCAGATGGTGCACATCTCACTCATTATGTATGTATATACCCGCCCCCCTCCCCCCTCCCACCTGCCCAATACCCTATTATATGTGTCCACTTAGGTGCTACTCAGTTAATACCAGTTTGCTGGAGAATACATCTGGTGCTTGTTTTTCCATTCTTGGGAAACTTCACTTAGTAGTATGGGTTCCAGCTCTAACCAGGAAAATATAAGATGTGCTATATCACCATTGTTTCTTAGAGCTGAATAGTACTCCATGGTATACATATACCACATTTTATTAATCCATTCTTGGATTGATGGGCACTTGGGCTGTTTCCACAGCCTTGCAATTATGAATTGTGCTGCTATAAACATTCGAGTGCAGGTGTCTTTTTTGTAGAGTGTCATTGGATCTTTTGGGTAGATGCCCAGCAATGGGATTGCTGGATCAAATGGTAGATTCACTTGTATCGCTTTAAGGTATCTCCATATTGCTTTCCACAGAGGTTGAACTAGTTTGCAGTCCCACCAGCAGTGTAGGAGTGTTCCTCTCTCTCCGCATCCACGCCAGCATTTATTGTTTGGAGACTTTTTGATAAAGGCCATTCTCACTGGGTTAAGTGATATCTCATTGTGGTTTTGATTTGCATTTCCCTGATGATTAGAGATGTTGAGCATTTTTTCATATGTTTGTTGGCCATTCTTCTGTCTTCTTTAGAAAAGTTTCTGTTCAAGTCCTTTGCCCACTTTTTAATGGGTTATTTGATTTTTTCTTCCTGATTTTCGTGAGTTCTAAGTATATTCTAGTTATCAGTCCCTTATCGGATGCATAGGATGCAAAAATTTTCTCCCATTCTGTAGGTTGTCTGTTTACTTTCATGACTATTTCTTTGGCTGTGCAGAAGCTTTGTAGTTTGATCATGTCCCATTTATTTATTTTTGTTGCTGTTGTGATTGCCTTTGGGGACTTCTTCATAAACTCTTTGCCTAGGCCGATGTCTAGGAGAGTGTTTCCAACTTTTTCCTCTAGAGTTCTAATAGTTTCATACCTTAGGTTTAAGTCTGTTATCCAGCGTGAGTTGATTTTTGTGAGAGGTGAAATGTGTGGGTCCTGCTTTAGCCTTCTACAAGTGGCTATCCAGTTTTCCCAGCACCATTTATTGAAAAGGGGTTCTTTTCCCCAGCATATGTTTTTGTTTGCTTTGTCAAAGATTAGATGGCTATATGAGGATGGTTTTATATCAGGATTCTCACATCTGTGCCACTGGTCCATATTCCTATTTTTGTGCCAATACCAGACTGATTTATTTACTACAGCTTTGTAGTATAGTTTGATATCTGGCTTATTAATGCCTCCCATTTTGTTTTTGTTGCCTAGAATTGCTCTTGATATTCGGGGTCTTCTTTGGTTCCATACGAAGCGTAAAATTATTTTTTCTATATCTGTGAAGAATGCTGATGGGATTTTAATAGATATTGCTTTGAATCTATAGATCAGTTTTGGTAGTATAGACATTTTAATGATGTTGAGTCTGCCGATCCAAGGCATGGTATGGATTTCCATCTGTTTACATCCTCTGCTATTTCCTTCCTCAGTGTTTCATAGTTTTCCCTGTAGAGGTCTTTTACCTTTTTGGTTAAGTATATTCCTAGGTACTTTAATTTCCTTGTTGTTATTGTGAAGGGAATTGAGGCTTTGATTTGGTTCTCAATTAGATTGTTGTTGGTGTATATGAATGCCTCTGATTTCTGTGTATTGATTTTGTATCCTGAAACTTTACTAAATTTATTTATCAGTTCCAGGAGTTTCTTGGTTGAATTTCTGGGGTTTTCTAAATATAATATCATATCATCAGCAAACAGTGAAAGTTTGATCTCTTCTTCCCCTATTTGGATACCTTTAATTCTACTTTCCTGTCTGATTGCTGTAGCCAGGACTTCCAGCGCTATGTTGAATAGAAGTGGAGATAGTGGGCAGCCTTGTCTGGTCCCAGTTCTAAGTGGGAATGCTTTCAATTTTCCCCCATTCAGTATGATGTTGGCTATGGTTCTGTCATATATGGCTTGTATCATTTTTAGGTATGTCCCTTCTATGCCTATTTTCTTAAGTGTTCATATCATGAAAGGGTGTTGAATTTTGTCAAAAGCTTTTTCTGCATCTATTGAAAGAACCATGTGGTCTTTGTTTTGCTTCTGTTTATGTGTTGAATTGCATTTATAGATGTACGTATGTTGAACCATCCCTGCATCCCTGGGATGAAGCCCACTTGGTCGTGGTGGATTATTTTTTTGATAAGCGTCTGGATTCTGTTAGCTAAGATTTTGTTGAAAATTTTTGCATCTATATTCATTAGGGACATTGGTCTGTAGTTTTCTTTTTTTGTTGCATCCTTTCCTAGTTTTGGTATCAGGGTAATATTCGCTTCATAAAAGGTGTCAGGGAGGTTTCCATTCTTCTCGATGTTGTGGAATAGTTTCTGCAAGATAGGTACTAGTTCTTTGTAAGTGTGGTAAAATTCGGGTGTGAAAGCATCTGGACCGGGACTTTTCTTTTTAGGGAGATTTTTAATTGCTGTTTCTATTTCAGCTTTTGAGATTGGTCTGTTTAGGGAATCTATTTCTTCCTGGTTGAGCCTAGGGAGGCTGTGTGTTTCTAGAAATTTGTCCATTTCCTCCACATTTTC